ACTTACAGGGCACCTAGGGAAGGGAACCCTAGGCGCATGTGCCCGAGTACTGGAGAATCACTCCCGGCTCACGCACCACCTAGAAAACAGACACCACATTCTAGGTACAGTGCTGAAACAACCACTGGAGCCGGAGCACATAACCGGTGCCTATAGCATCAGTCGAAGAACTGATGGGTGGATAGCCGGCATGGGAGGTCTGGGGCTTCCCCTTCCCCCTCCCGGGGAGGGGGAAGCTGCGTAGACAGCGGCGCGATGACGTACGACGTATGACGTCATACTAGTTTCCTTGTTTTCTGTTGAAGAGTTCTATCCACTAGTTCGGCTTTAGGTAGCAATTTTCACAAGAATAGGGGTTTGTTTTGGAATGCTTACCTTTCTGGATGCTTGACCCGGTCGATGGCAGACATAGAATGCTTCCTACCACACAGGGGTTTCTATAGGCCATTGCTCCCCTTGTCTCTCTGAGGGGGCCAGGTTCTGGCTGTGGTCCCCGGTAGGCCCTAGAACTCCATACACATGACTGATGCCAAAGTCTGACATTAGCATATCAGCCTGGTAAAGCTCCGGGGAGCCGACGGGGCTCCCCCCAGAAAAGTATTTTTTATAGCTCTTATTATTGTAATATTCTTGTTAAACTAAATATATAACCCAAAATTATATAATTTGATGTAAATCGAATATTTGAGAGAAATTTATGTTCCTGGATCTGGCTTAAACACTAGCCTACTGTAGGGTGTACATATAGACCTAGTCTGCGTTCGTACAGTATGCACCCAGTGCCCTTAGTTTTGTCTGTGATTAACGTACAGTATTTAACCGCCGGTGGAAGAATAATTGTGGAATTTACCATTTTTGGACTACAGCTGTATTGTTAAACAACAAAATGTCTCAGGGGCTTACTAATAGTGCCTTTTTAATGCCAAAAATGAAGCAATATTTTGCAAGAACTCGTAGCAGAAAATCAACCAGCACGAGAACAGCCGTGCCCAGCACGAGAACAGCCGTGCCCAACACGAGAACAGCCGTGCCCAGCACGAGAACAGCCGTGCCCAGCACGAGAACAGCCGTGCCCAGCACGAGAACAGCCGTGCCCAGCATGAGAACAGCTGTGCCCAGCACGAGAACAGCCGTGCCCCTCACGAGAACAGCCGTGCCCCGCACGAGAACAGCCGTGCCCCGCACGAGCATAGCTGTACCCAGCACTGGTACAACAGCAGCCAGCACCAGCTCAGAAGCAGCTGAAGCCACAGCAGCAGCAAGATTTGCTGCTGCTGTGGCAAACAGCAGCAGCAAATCTGCTGCAAACAAAGCACCAGCAACCAGCAAAGCACCAGCAAAGCTGATGCAAACATCTAAAAACGTCATGTGTGGCGTGAATAGATAGAACAAGTGTTAAATTTAAGTGTGTACATAGTGTTAAAATTAAAGTTGCAGTAATTTTAGTGTACAATAGTTTTCATAAACTGTATTGTAGTACTCAACATACAGCAGAACTACTTAATCAACACAGTGTTAACGGTATAATACACTACAGTACGTATTTACACTGTACAGCATTCACAACTCCATGAGACTTCAAGATGGACAAAACTCCAACAATAAGGTAAATAACAAATCTAACAGTATTTTTTAGTAGGGTAATAATATATAGGTACAGTATATAATATGATAATGCATTTTTATTGTGTACAAGAAAAAAAAAACTGATGCAAACGCCTCCTGAAGGTCACTTTTTGCAACGAATCCAACGCTCCAACGCACTGGGGTTGGTCCCATATAGTACGTTGAATCGAGGTTGTACTGTAATGTCAAAAACAGCGGCACGCTCCACCCGCCGACAAGATGAAAATTACCAGAAAGAGCACGCTGCACCACCCCAAGGCGTCTCTCATTACAATAGAGCATGGTCATACCGAAATGTGTATATAGTACTCTCTTCAACTTTGTCATCTCAATTCTCGTTCTAGGTTTTTCAATTTGGTATCAATGTGTTCGCAATAGAATTCTGTACAGGACTAAGTGCATATAAAACCCAAAAGTCAGGCGAGAAAGTGAGAGTGTGTTACCCGGGAGCGTGCAAGAGCAATAAAATGTGTACACTGTCTTCACTTTGGACATCTCAATTCTCGTCCTAGATCTTTCATTTTGGTATCAATGTATTCGCAATGAAATTCCCTACAGATGCATATGCATATAATGTCCAAAACTGCGGCACGCCCCCTCCTGAAGCCGCCGCCAATTTGCCGCCGGAAACGACGCAATGCTGCGTCGTTACTGGACTACCCCCGAGTAAAAGAACAACGCAATGCTGCATCATTACCGCGCTGAAGTGTTAAGGGTTGAGGCCTAATTTGACAAAGAATTTGAAAGTTAGAATAGTTAAGTGGAAACTCAACAGGGACAAGGCTAGTAGGCGGGGTATAAAGAGCTAGACCTCACTCCCCTGCAGACATTGATAGGCAAGTGTTACGTTACTGACATCTTCATTAGAGAATGGAGTGGCGATTTAGGCGTCATCTATTGGTCGGCACCTCAGTTCCCCTGGTATTGGACGTTATGTGGACCACGCCATTTGTTGGTGGTGGCATGGCTGCGATGAGTGGCTCCTGTTTCCTGCCCTAGTTAGGAGAGGTCAATGTGGATAACCTCTGGTGGGTGGCGTGTCACGATCAGCACCATCTAGGTTGTGCTACGAGCATAATGTCAACTCCCCAGTAAATGAGTGTTACCTCATGGTTTCTCCCAGTGTCCTGTCCATATCATTAATGACTTTTTATGTCCACAGAAGTGACGTGTGGCGGCAGTTGTACTGAGGAAGGCAATTTACCTTGGGCAGTCCACGAACCCTTATCTTGATCCTGAAACAAGACTAGGCAAGCCGCCGTCGATCGAAGCAGTGTGTTAGCTGCTAGTTTACGTACGCAGTGTTGGTGAAGATCAGCATACCCCAGGATTGGCTATTAAGGGTTACAGTGATGTGCCTAGTGTGAAGTGCTGCTAGCAAGCTGCTAGAGGCTTCTGCCAGGAGTCAGCTACCCCTGTATATGGTTGTTTGGGACCCTCTGTCAGCGTGCTGCTGAAGCCCTCTGCTAGTGAGTAAATGGAGAGCGAAGGTGCGGTATCCACCCACATCGTGATACTGTGTGGGGTGGACTGGCCCATGTAGAAAGGTGAACTCTCCAGTGTTGTCCAGTACGAGTGGATAAGGTACTAGGACGTCGCAATCAACTGGAGTTGGTGAACACTGGAAACGCATTTGTGTCCTGTGTAAAAGTGACACTATTGTAAATGTAGTAATAATCTATTTATATACAGTATGTATATTTAATGGTGAAGGTAAATATATTAGTGAAGGGAATTGAGTATTGTTTATCCCCCCCCCCTTATTTATTCATTGCACTCCTACAGTTCTTGAAAGCATACTACCGACTTGGGGTCGGATACTATAAAAGAGGTTATAACATCAAGAACCCGGTTACTGGCACAGTGGCAGTAACAGCAAGTATCCATCACCCAAGATATATCAGTAAGCGCAGTGCCGGAGTTAAGCACATGCACAAGCATCAAGGTTTTTCAACATGCTCCTTTTACACATAAGAGGCATAACTTACCTCTTATGGTATTCTACCTCTTTACCTCTATCTCTATACCTATACCTCTATATACCTCTACCTCTCACGGTATTCAAAAAGAGAACGTGATAAACACCTCCAAAGGGTACGTGATCAACCAGGCTGCAATTCATAGATCAGGCTGCCAGCAGCCACATCCAACAGTCTGGCTGACCAGACCACCAACAAAGAGTCGTGATAAGAGACTGGATGGCAAGGACATTGATCCTCCTAATTGCCACAAGGTAAGGTAAGCAAACACAAAATATTCTAATGATTCACAAACAAATGGGTCCCCCATAGTACAGAATCCAAAGGATATCCAACACTTAATACGAAAGAGCTGGTGATTCAAGGAGCAAGTCAGACTTTTCTGACATCAAGTAAAGGACTGATCATTGTTGACATCTGGAGCAGGCAGCTCCCATGATGCTGCCACATTGTAGATCTCACCTGTAACTAGGAGGGAACCTAACTGCACAGTTGTTTCCACAGTTGTTTGAATTTCTGTGAACTTTGCAGTTATCTGCTTTGCTACATTTTCTTTCTGGGAATCGTTTTTTCAGTGAAGGGGAGCATGAATCCCTTGCTCCCTGCACCTCTGTGAGGGGGGGGAGGAGGGGGGGAGAAAGGGAGGGGAGGAGGGGGGAGAAAGGGAGGGGAGGAGGGGGGAGAAAGGGAGGGGAGGAGGGGGGGAGAAAGGGAGGGGAGGAGGGGGGGAGAAAGGGAGGGGAGGAGGGGGGGAGGTGCCACATTTTGGCCTTTGGCCTCTGGAAGGCTATTAAAGGACTTGCAATGGCTGATGTGCCTTACAGGTGTAGAGCAATCTCAGTGTGGCTAGCAGCATGGAGCCACTGGTGAAAAAATCAATCTTAGGAAAAGCTTACTGACGCAAGCTAAACAAATGTTTGGTGCAGCCTGCATCTGGTCCAGGCAACTCGAAGTTCAAACCCTCAGTGTTTGTCAAGGCGGCGAGATTCATTATGTTTTTGTGTACCAAGTGTGCTCCACCTTCTTTGTTCAACACCCTCAAGGAGTTGAGCAGTTCAGTAATGGGCTTGGTTCTGCAGAAAGGTATCTCCTGTTTCATTTTCATGTTCATTTCCATGTTCTCCTATATTGGTTGAATCTGGTATGAAGACTCAACATTACAACATATTTCTCATACACAAAATGGTTATTATAGAATAACCCCCAAGGTCAATACAACCACTTACTGCAGAGGATGAGTCACAATAACGTGGCACATACTAGAAATTGAAGAGACGACAACGTTTTGGTCCGTCCTGGATCATTATCTAGTCAATTGTGATGAGACAAGGGAGGCACGGCCATTAAGTAGGCAAGAGAGAGGCGAGGAGATGGAAATCTTAGAGGAAGACTTACTTGTCCACTAAGGTCCTTATGACTGCCACAGTGTCCAACACAAACTTGTCCGTAAGATTCGAGAGAGCTGTACTGTTGATGCCATCTTCGCTGACCTGAGAATTAATCACTCATTATTAACACTTAATAATAAATATTTTCTATACACTACAAATAACTAACACTTACCATGCAATACATATCCTGTCATGTCTATTACACACACATGCTTCATTGTTACCATTTTCCAATTGTTGCCACCGAAGGCGGCTAGTTTATTGTGCACCCCATACTTATCCTGTGAGCGGTAGTGCAAAAAGCATTACAGAGGGGCACAAAAGGTCTTTATCAAACCTCATCTTAGATTATTACATAAACAATTTCATCTATCCTTCACACCTTATAGTTACAATGTCAGCTAGTTACAGAGAAAGTGCTATTTCAAGAGCTATATATTTACAGAAAGTCATTATACATTAATGGTAGGTCTTATCGCTAATACATAATAGTTTGACCAATGGGGGATATTACAGAGTCATAGGGGAGCTTCTGTTTATTATTAGTCCTCACAATACTGTACACTACTTTTTTCTGAATCTCATATGTCGTTTATCTACTGGAAGCGAAATGTGGATAAAGTGCAAGGATTTCAGGTAGTTTATCCATGGTAATAAGATAGGCTGCCATATACAGAGTGAGCTTAGATTTATTTCTAAATGGCTCAATTTTACTACAAACCAAGATATATTGTTCGAGTGTGTGTGTGTCCCTGTCTTTGTCCACACACTTTACACTTTACTTCATCTAGATCCCTATACAAGCCGAACTACCAGAGATACTTGTAGCCAAGTCTAATACGAGCTGTGACATCTGTTAGTCTGCTGACTTTGTTACTTGCCCCATACACATGTTTTACTTCACACATTTCATTGTGATGAACAATGGACCTGCTAGTTCCATTTTGCACTGTTCTGCTTTCTTCAAATCCATCCAGGAATTCTCGTCAAATGACACTTTTAAGGGATCTATTTGATAACTCAAGATTCCATTCAATACTGCCTTTATTTACTGTAGCCTTAGTAAGGGCATCAACTTTGTCATGTTCCTGCAGGCCACTGTGAGAAGGAATCTACAACATTTTTATATTTACCCTCTTGCTAAGTATTCTTATATATCTACGTCTAGCTTTTACCATTGCAATACATATCCTGTCATGCCTATTGCACACATGCTTCAATGTTATCAGCAATACATATTCTGTCATGCCTATTGCACACATGCTTCAATGTTATCAGTAATACATATTCTGTCATGTCTATTGCACACATGCTTCAATATTACCAGCAATACATATCCAGTAGTACATGAATGAAACACACAAAGCCTACAATCAAAGTACTGTACCTATTTACACAACAACTGAACCTCACATTGTATTTGAATACAGTACTCACCGATCCCGAAATGAACTCTATATCTTCTCTGTTGATGATGATGTCATCATTACTGCCAGGCTCAGGCTGTGTCTTGCAACAACACGTCCCCATCACTAATTCACACACACTCCACACATTGGTACTCCTGTTCCATCTAGATCATGGTACAATTAACCTTAATTTAGTTCTTGTATGTCTCATGTTATTGTTCGAACAAAAGCCTCGTTTATACATTATTAATAGGTAATTTGACTGGGACACATCAGTAATTGCTCCACTCGAACACCATCTCCCCACTGGCTCCACCAACACAATCTGGAAAAAAAATAAAGTTACTTCTCCAAAGATTTTGATTAAATGATGCTCACAGCATTAGTTTACTGAAGGCAATTATTTCCTAAAGCTCTCTGCATAAGACTAACTTTTTCGAGAAACTTACTACAAAGCTGTAGTGCTTGAATGACGGCAAAGGAAAGACTCAATGTATGTGTAAGTGTATTAAAACTAAACTGTTGTCTGTAACCTACATCCTTCCTCAAGGTGTTGTATACAATGTACCTTGAATGCTGTATACTATACTAATGGCTTAGTGTAATTACAGTGTACTACAGTGTGCACAGTATACCGTGCTGCATAAAGCCACCATTAACAATAACAAGTTAATTTTTGCAAACACAGGTACACAGTCGACAAGTTAAGTGGATCTCCTGTAGCGTTGTAAACCCATGGAACCGCCTACTCGCTGAACCCGTAAATGTCAAAACTCTGCAGTTTTAAAATTCAGCTGGAAAAGATCATCAGGGCAAATGGAGAGACCTTTGACAAGCCACTGACTTCCTGTCTTCATCGAGGCCACTAGTATTAGTGGCCCTCAGGTAAATTCAGGCAAGTGATAAGGTGGTGAAGGCCAAACCCATCAGTAGTTTTGAAGCGTTAAATGAGAGAGTGCTTGGAAGACGGGACACCACGGGCATAGCTCTCATCCTGTAACTACTCTTAAGTAATTACAGTACTGTATACTGTGCTGCACAGTTTGCTGTACTTGCAATGTGCAAGTTTTCACAACAGACGATATTTTGGGACGAGAGTCATTACAGTAAACGTAAACATCACTCGACTCCTAACTGTGACACTCGACTTGTGATACAGTGTAAGGACACATGTTTATAATGCAGCAGGGATGGGTGAAAACATGTGTGTGCCTTTACAACAATACAATTATCATATATTCTTAACACAATTACCTTCTTTAACTTTCTTGGATTGAAGAGCAAATGGTGTGGACTGGGAGGGTGGGGATGGTGAGTGGTGTGGGCTGGGGGAGAGAGGGGGGGATATGGTGAGTGGTGTGGGCTGGGGGAGAGAGGGGGGGATATGGTGAGTGGTGTGGGCTGGGGGAGAGAGGGGGGGATATGGTGAGTGGTGTGGGCTGGGGGAGAGAGGGGGGGATATGGTGAGTGGTGTGGGCTGGGGGAGAGAGGGGGGGATATGGTGAGTGGTGTGGGCTGGGGGAGAGAGGGGGGATATGGTGAGTGGTGTGGGCTGGGGGAGAGAGGGGGGGGGGAATATGGCGAGTGGTGTGGGCTGGGGGAGAGGGGGGGGGATATGGTGAGTGGTGTGGGCTGGGGGAAAGAAGGGGGGGGATATGGTGAGTGGTGTGGGCTGGAGGAGAGAGGGGGGGAATATGGCGAGTGGTGTGGGCTGGAGGAGAGAGGGGGGGAATATGGCGAGTGGTGTGGGCTGGGGGAGAGAGGGGGGGATATGGTGAGTGGTGTGGGCTGGGGGAGAGGGGGGGGATATGGTGAGTGGTGTGGGCTGGGGGAGAGGGGGGGATATGGTGAGTGGTGTGGGCTGGGGGAGAGGGGGGAGAATATGGCGAGTGGTGTGGGCTGGGGGAGAGAGGGGGAGGAATATGGTGAGTGGTGTGGGCTGGGGGAGAGAGGGGGGGAATATGGAGAGTGGTGTGGGCTGGGGGAAAGAGGGGTGGTGTGGGCTGGGGGAGAGAGGGGGGGAGGAATATGGTGAGTGGTGTGGGCTGGGGGAGAGAGGGGGGAGGAATATGGTGAGTGGTGTGGGCTGGGGGAGAGAGGGGGAATATTGTGAGTGGTGTGGGCTGGGGGAGAGAGGGGGGGAATATCTAGAGTGGTGTGGGCTGGGGGGAGAGAGGGGGGGAATATGGTGAGTGGTGTGGGCTGGGGGAGAGAGGGGGGAGGAATATGGTGAGTGGTGTGGGCTGGGGGAGAGAGGGGGGGGAATATGGTGAGTGGTGTGGGCTGGGGGAGAGGTGGGGGGAATATGGAGAGTGGTGTGGGCTGGGGAAGAGGTGGGGGGAATATGGAGAGTGGTGTGGGTTGGGGGAGAGGGGAGGAATATGGTGAGTGGTGTGGGCTGGGGGAGAGAGAGGGGGGAATATGGAGAGTAGTGTGGGCTGGGGGAGAGAGGGGGGGGGAAATATGGAGAGTTGTGTGGGCTGGGGGGGGAGAGGGGGAATATGGTGAGTGGTGTGGGCTGGGGGCAACCCGTTCTTGCAAATTCGTAAAGTCAATATTGACTTATTAACTACGTGCATAGGTGATATACTAAACATAATAGATACCCTTAAAAAGATTCATAGAAAACACCGACCTTACCTAACCTTGTTAGTATCTTATTGCATCTTATTGCTTCGTAATTACAATTATTACTTAACCTATTCCTATTATAGGTTAGGTAATAATTGTAATTACGAAGCAATAAGATGCTTATCTTAACATACTAAGTAGGTTAGGTAAGGTCGGTGTTTTCTATGAATCTTTTTAAGGGTATCTATTATGTTAAGTATGTCACCTATGCACATATTTAATAAGTCAATATTGACTTATTAAATTTCCGAGAACGGGTTGCTGGGGGAGAGAGAGGGGGGGTTGGAGAGGAGTGGTGTGGGCTGGGGGGGGAGAGGGGGAATATGGAGAGTGGTGTGGGCTTGGGGAGAGAGGGGGGGGGGGTTGGAGAGGAGTGGTGTGGGCTGGGGGGGGGGGGGGGGAAGAGGTAGCGAGACAAACGATGGGGAAGGAAACACATGTATTTTTATAACTAGAAATATAATAAAAATGCAAGTAAGCTCCATGCAAGTGGGTCTCATCAGATGCAGGAGTCCTGATTGGCCTACTGGAAACTACAGCCAAACCTGACCCCTTCCCCCCCCCCCACCACCCACCCCACTTCCCTCACAGATGCACAGACAGCATGTAACAAGGAAAGGCAAACTTCACCCAAGGGGAAAGGAAGAGGAAGTGTGGACGAAGCCAAGGTTAAATTAACCAACATCTTCAATTCCAGGTCCCTAAATGCTAGATGGAACAGCTCTGGGGCATCCACCCAGGCACACAATCTAGACCACTGCCATACAGAAAACCTAATACTGTACACAGAGCGGTTGCTGCCAAATAAGCCCTGACCACATTGGGAGGGTCAGGAATGAGAGCAACACCAGGGGAGCAAACACCAAATGACTCTGGGTCAAAGGTGTCACCGACCTAACAGGCCACATAGATGAGGCAAGGAATGTGTATGCATGAAAATTTTCAATCTTTTTTTTATATACCAACAACCACCTTAACCCTTAAACCGCACACATTGTATATATACAATTAAAGTAACTTGTCACTAAACCGTGCACATCGTATATATACAATCGAGGGTGCCGCGCACGATTTAAATGTCCCGCGGCTACACAGGGTTTACATCAGCTTCCTCAGGGCTCAAGTAAACAGACGCCATTTAAAAAAAAAAATCGTGGGCAACATTCCCAGGTGCGAGAGTGTCAGTACCGAGTGAGCAACCAAGGCTGGCACATGCAGCACGAGCTAACAGCACTGCTGTTCAGCTTGTGACCACAGCATCTCCTAAAAAATGTCAAATATATATGTAACTGGTATTATTAAGCAATGATAGTACAGTATTACAGAAAACTGCCGACTGATAAAAATGACCAGGATTTTGATAACAGCAGGATTGTGGTGATAATTAGCACCGAGCGTAGTATGGTGAGAGGAGTAATCTTGGTGAGGGAGGCACGTCACATCATCTGCCAACTCTGTGTGGCAACCTGTTATTGTCTGGACTTGCCATACTTAGTGGTTCTCTATGGTGAACACAAAATTAAATGCATATAATGTGTGTATATAGTGTATTAACAGCACGCACAGTATGGTGGGAGGAGCCATTTTGGTGAGGAAGGGAGTGATATGTTGTTGTCTGCTAGCTGCTGTGTCACTTGTCATGCAATTGTGTGTTATCACTATGTTATTTGGACACCATACCAACTTAGTTGTACACTTATAAGTATCTACATGTTTTGTTCACCATAACATATGTAGTGTAATAAAAGCAAAAACAGTATGGTGGGAGGAGGAATGTTGGCAAGTGAAGTGTTGTTGAAGGAGGGAGATAGGTGGCGTTTGTTGGCTGGTGTGTCGTGGCCACTCTTGTTGTTTTGACTCACCATACCAACTTGGTGGATCATTATGGTGAACAAAACATGCAGATACTTATATATAACCTGTGTATATAGTGTAAGAACAGCAAGACTATTTGTTTATTGTTTAACGAACATAATAATTGAATCACTAATATACACACTTTTGTTTGTGAAGTGTGTCTATGTATGTATTAACACGTTGTACTGAACGGGGTGAGAATAGCTTGAGCTACCTCATCCCTTTGTGTGTATTTTACCTTTAATAAACTTATTTCAATTTCAATTTCAATTTCAATATACACACCATACTTTTGAGTATAGCGATGGTTCACACATTTTATTACATAAATATATCACACTACACACTATTGAATAATATTACTGCAGAAAACAAGGAAAAAAATCAGAGACATTGATATAATATCTTTGTGGCAACTCCCGCCTGAAAGCTTGGGCGGAGCTGACTGCCTCCGACGCTTGCTCTGTCAACGCCTACATTTTGCCAGACTTCCTGTCCCTATTGTAGCCAAAATATGTCACCTACGATTTTATTTTTATTTTTGCCGTGATCAGAGAACATAAATGAACACTTATAAAACAAAAAAAAATTGATTTTTTTTATTTCTTGCACACAGCAGTGTTGGAGGCTATTAATAACTAAGCAGCATGAAGGTTAAGGTGCTATGCATACCACCAGTTAAGCACGTTAAGGTACTAATGCACAGTACAGTGCTTAAAGTAACTGTTTTCACAATTTACGAGACCAAAATTGGAACATGCACCAATGGTGTGGTGACCAAATCTCAAGCACAAACAAATCAATTAGAAAGGACGCAAAGTCATGTTACTAAATGGCTTCCAGAACTTTCATTAACTACAAGGAGAGGCTGGCGGCATTAAATACGCCAAACTAGAAGACTAGAGGAAAAGAGGCAATACGATTACAACATACAACTGGTTCAACCATGATGACTAGTGAATGCCTGGATGCCTACTCCACCTGAGGGCCACCGACTAATGGATTTTAATTATTGCGTTTGTGTCGCGATACCGCCATCTGGCATTCCTCTTCAACAGCCTTTTCTCCGACACCTTGCACCCTTACTGCCCGAGGTTGCAGGGACACTGATAGATTTTCCCCAATTTTCTGGTTGGTTCTTCGAGCAAGTAGATGGTGTCTGGCACAAGCCTCCCCAAGCGATGCTAAGATAGTGTGGTGGACATCTGGAACTTTCTCTGCTGAAGATCATTGGAAGACATTGCCGAATTTTACCTGGTCATTAGAGTATTAGAGTGGCCATTGTGATTTTCCAGTTTGGCTTCAACTTAATTTGGCTACCCAGAGTTCACAGAACACCTGAAGCATTATCGTTTTGGATAACAGTGTGTTGATAGTTTTCCATTAGGTTTTCTGTGTAGGGTGTGAATCTGGCACGTGCCTCCATGCAAGATACCAGGGTGTCACCAAGCACCTGCTTTACACTGGCTTTATCTGCAGTTTTTCCGTCAACCGGCGATGTATAGCCTCTGGGCGTCAGAGATTTCCCCAACATGTGTATTACGGGGTACATGCTATAGTTGACCCTAAGCCAATAATAAGATACTACGTACAAAAAATACCTGGAATCGACAAAATGACAAAGGGAGGACTTTACGAAACCTGCAACTTCAAAAACGAGGTCATATAATTAAGTTAAGGAAACAGTAGTGCCAAAAAATTATAAAGTGCTCTTTTGTACACAGAGTTGTAGATAGTTTGAACAATTTAAGAGAGCTTGCAGTGAATGTCAAAACTATCAATACTGTAGTTTCAACGTCACATGACAAAGAATACTGGCAGAACATGACGCCACAGGAGCAGCTCTCATTCTGTAACTACACTTAATTACTACGGTGACGGGGGCCGCGCCGGGGCACTACGGTGATGGGGGCCACGCCGGGGCACTACAGTGACGGGGGCCGCGCCGGGGCACTACGGTGACGGGGGCCACGCCGGGGCACTACGGTGACGGGGGCCGCGCCGGGGCACTACGGTGACGGGGCCTGCGCCGGGGCACTACGGTGACGGGGGCCGCACCGAGGCACTACGGTGACGGGGGCCACACCGAGGCACTACGGTGACAGGGGCCACACCGGGGCACTACGGTGACGGGGGCCGCACCGGGGCACTACGGTGACGGGGGCCGCGCCGGGGCACTACGGTGACGGGGGTCGCGCCGGGGCACTACGGTGACGGGGGCCGCGCCGGGGCACTACGGTGATGGGGGCCACACCGAGGCACTACGGTGACGGGGGCCGCACCGGGGCACTACGGTGACGGGGGCCGCGCCGGGGCACTACGGTGACGGGGGCCGCGCCGGGGCACTACGGTGACGGGGGCCGCACCGAGGCACTACGGTGACGGGGGCCGCACCGAGGCACTACGGTGACAGGGGCCGCACCGAGGCACTACGGTGACAGGGGCCGCACCGAGGCACTACGGTGACAGGGGCCGCACCGAGGCACTACGGTGACGGGCCGCACCGAGGCACTACGGTGACAGGGGCCGCACCGAGGCACTACGGTGACAGGGGCCGCACCGAGGCACTACGGTGACAGGGGCCGCACCGAGGCACTACGGTGACAGGGGCCGCACCGAGGCACTACGGTGACAGGGGCCGCACCGAGGCACTACGGTGACAGGGGCCGCACCGAGGCACTACGGTGACAGGGGCCGCACCGAGGCACTACGGTGACAGGGGCCGCACCGAGGCACTACGGTGACAGGGGCCGCACCGAGGCACTACGGTGACAGGGGCCGCACCGAGGCACTACGGTGACAGGGGCCGCACCGAGGCACTACGGTGACAGGGGCCGCACCGAGGCACTACGGTGACAGGGGCCACACCGAGGCACTACGGTGACAGGGGCCACAGAGGACTCTTGAGGACTCACCGGGACTCATCAGGCACCAATATTATCTTCCCTTCATCACATCACATCCCGAGGTAAACAAGAAACAAGTGACGTCCGACGCGCGCCAGAATATATACAATTCCGGAAGTCAAAATATTTAGGCCTTGTATGTCGTATTTTAATTAATGCAGTTAAATCAGTATTATCATACAATAGTTAATTTATTATTTGCACAGCATAGCATTGTATTAATCACTGATGTCTGTATTATGTTAATTAGGACCTTTACATCAATGATCTCAGCTGAAAGATTAATCCTGGAACCCACACAAATGTTGAAGCAGTTTTTGGCATTAACAATATAAAATATTATAAAATTTATTCCCCATTCTGCAAATCTGCTATGCTTCAGTCCAGATGGTATGAGGTACTTTGAGCTCTGCAATTACTTCATTCACTCAGGAATCTTGGAAGATATTCTTGGGCTGTTCCCAGATTTTGCTAGTGGGGACTAATAGATCAGTCTAACACTTCATTTTCTCTCCTGATTTGTAGTCAGAGTTGATTTGTTTTTTGTATCGAGGCTGGTATTTTCTCCCCTGATTCCATGTGTGACTAACCATCCTGTGATATGGGAATATTAGATGAACTATAGCTAGTTTTTGATCTAAGCTGTGTAATCTTTCATATAGAATTTCAAATAACAACACATTGCTCTGTATACCTAAGCTTGTTAATAAAAAAATAAAAATATGTGTGAAAGGTTATAGAGTGTATAGGTCACAAGCCAGCTATTAGTTCATCTAATATCCCCATCACACAGCATGGTCAATCATTTACCTGAATTTACCTGAGGGGCCACTGACAATAGTGGCCTCGACGAGGACCGGAAACCGGTGGCTAATCAAAACTAATTATTTGCCTTGATGAACTTTTCAAGTTGGATTTTGAATTTTAACAGTTTTGGCATTTACGGCTCCGGCAGGTAGGCGGTTCCATGGGTTTATAGCCTTGAGGGTGAAAAAGCATCTCTTATATTCTGTCTTCTTTATTACTTCCCCATTCCCTATGTTCTTTATTTTAACGGAAACATGGATAAGTAAGGACCATACTCGCACTTTACAACTTAGCCGGTTATTAAATCATTCACAACTGTAGGCCAAATAAAAATGGTGGTACAGGTCCTCGGCTACACCCATGGGAGGCGTAAGCAGGCAGTTGCATATTGGCACGCCTCTCTATATTTTATTATTTTACCTGCATGATGTATTACAATGCCTTGCGGTTCTGTAAAACATCCTGTTCCCACTTATTTGGTTTCGTATTGCCAGTTTTCCTTCAGGTTTCCGTACAGGTCCACGCTGGAACAACAAAGACTTCATTGTGCCCACCGCATGCTATTATACGCCCAAAGCTTCCTCACTCTGATCCGGACATCCGAGGTACAGCTTAGACAACGCCAACTACCCATCATGACGCCTTCTGGACTTCTGTTATTTGTGGCCTCGTGATTCTTGCCACTGGTTAAAAGGCCCCCCCTTTATTTCTTGGACGATTTACCCCCGAGATGTAGGACGACTGTACTACGTTGCAGTCGTCCAAGTTGGGCATCTGCACTGTGATGGTAAGATGGATAACTGCTGGTGACGCACCGCCCTTGTTGGCCTAACTATAGGCGCCCTGCCTGCCGGTGTAGCCCGGACCGCCATTCTTGACCTAACCAGGCGCCAAGAGGCCAGCATTGATTTTCCCCCTATTATTAAATTTATCTACTATGAGAGTCTTCTAGAGGCGCCTGCTTAAGTCCACTGTCCCACTGCCACTGCATGCCTGCTTCTGCCCACCCTTACTGCGTTAATACTTCCAGAAGATAAATGAAGGACCTCCTTGATTTATCCTTGAGGATTTGAGGATAAATCCTTGAGGTCCTTGAGATAGGTCCTTGAGAATAATCCTCCTTGAGGATTATTCCTCAAGGACCGGCGAAACCTGACTGGAACCCGAAGGCGGGCTCCAGAGCCACAATGAGGTCGACACTGGGGAGTCGGCCTCTGTGCAGACGGGTTCCAGCTCCCACACCTGCCCTGGGGCCAGCCTTGTGGGGCTGGTTTCTGTAAGAGCGGGCTCCAGCGACAACGCCAGTAACGAGGTCGACCCTGGGGGAATCGGCCTCTGATTCAGCGCAGCTCTGCATACTCTTGGATCTTCAGCGAACTTCGCGCGCGCTCGAGGACCGGCGAAGAAGACGGCACGTTACAAGGAGGGCCGAGACAGTCCTTACAACAGACAGCAAGACCGCTTAACTGTCGCACAACAACACCCTTGCACACTAGGATTCCACGGGGCGGCAGCCCATGTGGGTGAATGCGGGCGGCACTAATTAATAGCCCTTCTTTCCCAATACTAATACAACTGCATTCTCAGATAACCTAATACTTCCAATCTATGGGAACTATCCCTTGGTCCAGATATTTTCTAAAAAAAAAAAAAGTTTCAAGGGTATGCATAGTCCCTCTGATAGTTCCTGTCATCCTTATTAAAAAAAAAAGGCAGAAAGAGCTCAGCAGAAAACTACCATCCGATCATCTTGACATCACCATCTGCAAGTCCATGAAGAGAATCCTTAGGGAGGGAACCATTCACCATCTCACAGTGAACAATCTTGTAACGCAACATGGCTTTGTTAAAAATAAATCATTCCTTACAAACCTGCTCACATTTTTGGAAACGGTAACCAGCTACTTAGACAAAGAACTTCCGGTGGATGTAATATACATGAATTTTGAGAAAGCCTTCGATAAGGTACCACATGAAAGATTGACAAGGAAATTACATGCACATGGAATAAATGGGAGAATACTAGAATGGATAAAACAATGGTTAAAACAAAGAAAGCAGAGTGGTGCCAAGTGGGAATGAATCCGACTGGAGTTAGTTAGTTTAGTTCATTTATTATGCACCCCATACCCATCCCGTGGGCGGTAGTGGAAAGGGTTACAGAGGCACATAATGGGCTCAGGGACTGAACCCCACAATTCATTTAGCTAAGCAAGTTACAATCTTGATGAGCTAGTTACAAAATTTAATATAAGTCGTCACATCAACAATGGGTTCGAGATCGACCTCAAGTACAGGTTCTAGATTAAGCAACTGACATATGTGGAGAGCTAGTGTCACAATTTATATGTTTGTCCTGCACACCGCCCCCCATCCAGTGGGCAGCGGTGGATAGGTTACAATCACTCAGTTACTACCTACAGTTTGCAAACTGGGGATATTTGGCTAAAATTTCTGGTACCTTACCTTGAGGTTACCTTGAGGTGCTTCCGGGGCTTAGCGTCCCCGTGGCCCGGTCGTCGACCAGGCCTCCTGGTTGCCGGACTGATCAACCAGGCTGTTGGACGCGGCTGCTCGCAGCCTGACGTACGAGTCACAGCCTGGTTGATCAGGTATCCTTTGGAGGTGCTTATCCAGTTCTCTCTTGAACACTGTGAGGGGTCGGCCAGTTATGCCCCTTATGTGTAGTGGAAGCGTGTTGAACAGTCTCGGACCTCTGATGTTGATAGAGTTCTCTCTCAGAGTACTAGTTGCACCTCTGTTTTTTAACGGGGGTATTCTGCACATCCTGCCATGTCTTCTGGTCTCATGTGATGTTATTTCTGTGTTCAGGTTTGGGACCAGCCCCTCTAATATTTTCCACGTGTAAATTATTATGTACCTCTCCCGCCTGCGCTCAAGGGAGTACAGTTTTAGGCTCTTTAGTCGGTCCCAATAGTTTAGATGTTTTACTGAGTGGATTCTAGCAGTAAAGGATCTCTGCACGCTCTCCAGTTCAGTAATTTCTCCAGCTTTGAAAGGTGCTGTCATTGTGCAGCAGTACTCTACTCTAGAGAGCACAAGCGTTTTGAAAAGTATCATCATCGGTATAGCATCTCTAGTGTGAAAAGTTCTTGTTATCCAACCTGTCATTTTTCTTGCAGTTGTGACGGCTACTTTATTGTGTTCTTTAAAGGTAAGGTCTTCCGACATGAGTACACCCAGATCCTTTACATTGCCTTTTCGTTCTATGTTATGATTTGCCTGAGTTTTGTACGTGGTTTCCGTTTTTATATTTTCATTTTTTCCATAGCGCATGACCTGGAACTTATCTTCGTTAAACACCATATTATTTTCTGTAGCCCATAGAAAGACCTGATCTACATCTGACTGGAGGTTCGCCGTGTCCTCTATGTTGCCTACTCTCATGAAGATCCTAGTGTCATCTGCAAAGGATGATACAGTGCTATAGGTTGTGTTCTTGTCTATGTCCGAAATGAGGATGAGAAAAAGTACTGGAGCAAGCACAGTACCCTGGGGGACTGAGCTCTTCACGGTTGATGGGTTGGATTTTATTTTGTTGACTATTACAAATTGGGTTCTGTTGGTCAGGAAATTGTAGATCCATCTGCCTATTTTTCCGGTAATTCCTTTTGAACGCATTTTATGTGCAATAACACCATGGTCACATTTATCAAAAGCTTTTGCGAAATCTGTGTAAATTACATCCGCGTTATGTTTGTCTTCCATAGCATCTAATGCCATATCATAGTGGTCCAGCAACTGCGACAGGCAAGAGCGCCCTGTTCTGAAACCATGTTGTCTGGGGTTATGGAGTTGCTGTGATTCCATGTATTTTGTGATTTTACTTCTTAGCACTCTCTCAAAAATTTTTATGATGTGCGATGTTAGCGCTATCGGTCTGTAATTATTTGCCTCTGCCTTATTTTCTGCTGTTTTTAGTATATCAGGAATAACGCCAGTAACTAGGCTTTGTCTCCACAAAATGTGGAGGGCCTGCGATAGTGGATTTTTACAGTTCTTTATGAATATGGAGTTCCAAGAATCCGGGCCTGGTGCAGAGTGCATAGGCATACTGTTTATGGCTTCTTCAAAATCCAGTGGGGATAGGGTGACGTCTGATATATGATTTGATGTTGGTATCGTATCCATGAAAAATTCATTTGGGTTATCAATCTTTAGTGTGTTTAATGGCTCGCTGAAAACAGAGTCGTACTGCGTCCTCAGTAGCTCGCTCATTTCTTTGTTGTCATCGGTGAAAGTTCCATCTCCCTTTCGCAGGGGCCCGATACTAGATGTGGTTTTTGATCTTGATTTTGC